TGGGAGCCGCCTTGCTCCCCTCCTGCCAGGGAAACAAAACGCCCTTGGGCGCATTATCTTAGTGCCTGCCGGCATCCACAGAAACACACGTTGAAGGCAGAGGAGAAATAAAGCGGCAGCACCAACAGGAGGAGGGTGTGTGAAGCCCAGAAGAGGCGGAGGCTGACGTCGAGCGCGCGCTCCGGGCGGCTTCGGGCGACAGGAGGGGCAGCGGCTGCAGCCGGGGGCTCCGCCGAGGGCTCCCTGTTCTGCCAAAGACGTTTGCAGCCTTTCCCCGTGCTCCTGTCCAGGAAACGTCCGTGGGGCAGGACCGCTGCGGATGGCGGACAGAGCCACGAGTCCGAGCAGAGGGAGGGCTGCGGCGTTCCAGACATTCAGAATAAACTGCGGCCTCTTTTATTTTTTTTTTAATTTAAAAATTTCCTTAGCGATTCCCCACAGCCGGCACTACAGGATTTCGTACTTGTCCACCAGGAAGGTGGTCTCAGCAGAAAACCTTACGGGACTGTTCCCCTCTACCTGGGTCACTTTGGTAACCTGTGGAGACAACGCACACGGTTAGGCGAGCGTTCCCGAGCGCCGCGCTCCGGCGCAGCCTCCTGCTCAACCGGAGACGGCCCGAGGCCAAGGGGAGCCCATCGCTTTGCCAAGGCCTCTGTGCTGCAGGGAAGGTGCCTTCCCAGGAAGCTGTCTCACGAGAGCAGCCTGCACAGAGCCCTGCAGCCCTTGAGAGCTATGGTGCAACGCAGGGCAGGCGCAGAGCTGTATGCCCAGAAGTCGTTTCGCTTGGCAGGGCAACAGCTTCTCCTCCTAAGTCAGCTCGGAGGGCACATCACAAGTTCTAGGCAGCTGCCCATAGCAAAACTACTCGCTGGCACCAGCGAAGGCGGCTGAGAACATAATGTGTACAGTAACGTACAGGCGCTCACCGAGCGGGGCAGCACAAGGGAGCAGCAGGGAGAGCTGCGGGATGGGGACACAGGGACGAGGCCCTGCCGCCCTCCCTGGCGGTGCCCTCTCCCTCAGCCACGCAGGGGACGCGCTCGGCTCGCACAGAATCCGAGCGCAGGCAGAGGGACCCAGTGACAAGGAGCTGCCCCACGGGAACACGCTGGTCTCCTTCTCTGCCACGTTGGTGCACAAGGGGATGGCCCAGGAGGCCAAGCAGCGAAAGACCCCAGCGGTGCAGGCAAGCAGATGCCACAGCTGCCAGGCAGGCACAGGGCAGCTCCGCTCCGCACTACGGGCAGGAATCAGCCCGTTCCACGAGCCCCCGCAGCGCACTGAGCATCTGGGAGCCAGCCCTGCGCGGGCAGCAGCCCTACCTGTATGTTGCAGTAGTTCTTTTTGGAGACGAAGGAGACGTGCACTGGGAAGAAGTCGTTCGGCTGCCCTGCTATGCTGAACTCCAGGCTGCCGCTCTTGTTTTTGGCATCGATCACTGGCAGGCACCACTCGAGGAGGTTTCTCCGGCTGTCGTGGCGATACTCGCCGTCGATCTCCCCGATCACCGGGGCCCCGACACCAGACCTAGGGAGAGGAGCCACACGAGCTCACGTGCCTGCAGCGAGCGAAGCAGCGGCCGCAGCAGCAGGGAAGGGACGGCCCGGGCTGCGGAAGGCCCCGCGCGCCCGTGCGACGCTACTCACGGCAAAGGGATTGTGATGATCACGTCGTTCAGCTCCAGGCTCTCCTCTTGCAGCTCATACTCGATGTTCACGTCGCAGCTGCTCCCGCTCTCCGACGGCCAGCAGTTAACTGCGGACACAAGAAGAGCCCGCTAAACCACGAGCAGTGGCACGTGTGG